ACGCCATACTGTTCTCCACAATGGCTGCACCAGTCTGCATTCCCACCAGCAGTGCACGAGGGTTCCTTTTTCTCCGCATCCTCTCCAGCACTTGTCATTTGTTGATTTTTTGATGATAGCCATTCTGACAGGTGTGAGATGGGACTGCATTGTCATTTTGATTTGCATTTCTTGGATGATTAGTGACTTTGAGCATGTTTTCATGTGTCTAATTACCTTTCCCTATTAAATTTACTGATGACTTTGACACCTGAGTTTTAGTCTTCCATCTTTACTCTAAACCCTGACGGTTATTCACGATTGACTTTAGTTTGCTTGCTTGGTTTTTTAAAGATGAACCCATCAAGTCATCTACTGACCTTCAACTTTCTCTGCTGCAGAAACTATCCGTTAATGCCTTTTCTTTAAAAAAAAATTTAGCAAGGTTTATTAACATATAATTTACAGAATACAGTTCTATGAGTTTTAACACACAAACAATTGGATAACCAATTTCTCAATAAGCAAGATATAAAACAGTTCCATTATCCCTAAAAGTTGTTTTGTGATTCTTCATAGTTATTTTCTTACCTAGGTAACATGGAACTAGCAACCATTGGTCTGCTCTGACTCTATAGTTTTGCTTTTCCCAGAGAATAAATAAGTGAAATCATAAAGTATATGCTTTTGAGTCTGGTTTTTTTCATTTAACAATATGCATTTGATATATATCCATGTTGTTGCATGTATCAGTAGTTTGTTCCTTTTGCTATGTAGTATTCCCTTGTACCAGTTTGTTTTTTCATTCAATGGTTGACGGACATTGGATTGTTTCCAGTTTGGAGTAAATGTGAATGAAACTCTACGAATACGTGTGTATAGGTGTTTGTGTAAGTGTAGTTCTCATTTCTGTTTGGTAAATATTTAGGAGTGGGATTGTTTGATCATGTGGTAGTGCATGTTTAAATTACTAGAAATTGTCAAACTTTTCTAAAATGGTTGTGTCATTTTGCATTCCACCAGCAATTTATGAGAAATCCAATTTAGTGAACTTATATAAGGTGAGGCTATATATTTTGTTCAATATAAAATAGAATGACATCTTAAAATAGTTTGTTTGCATTGTTAAGTTTTGGAGTCCATTGATCACAGCAAAATAGATTATCTTAGTAAAAGAAAGAGATATGGGGCTTGTTCGCTCGGAGGTTTTACCCAGTAGGAAAGTCTTTTCAATAGTGCTCTTGAAAGTGTTCTCTGGTTCTCGTTCATTCACTGTTCTGAAATGTGCACTCATGAGAACTAGTACTGAATCATTTCACAAAGATTTTATTAAGTGCATATTTCCTAAGTTCCATGATAACTGTCAAATCTAAGACATCATAAGTAACTAGGGGCCCAGTGCACAAGTTCATGCGCCTGAAAGGAACTGTGGACCATGAGGCTGCGGTAGGCACAGGGGCGGGTCTCGGCCCATCCTCTGTGTCCCCGCCCGGCCCCTCCTGTCGTGGCCCCAGGACACCTGTCTGCCCACAGCCCCACTCCCACTGCCACCACTCTCACACGCTGATGGCACTGGCCCTGGTTGCACCTGCTGAAGGTACTAAGCAGTTGGGGTCGGTGCCAGCAGTAGGTGCGAATGGCAGCTGCTGGCCTGATCACCCCTCAGGAGCAGGGGGAGGTGGATAAGCCCTGAGGGGCAATTGGTGCCGACAGCCGCCACTCCTGCTGATGGCACCGAGCGATTGGGACCGGCACTGGGTGCTGGCAGTGGTTGTGAGCGACAGTTCTGGCGCCAGTAGTGGGTACAAGCACCGGGCGGGACCATGGAGCACGGGAATAAAGAATTTTCAGTAACCACCAGAGGCTCACCCTCTGCCTTGGTCTGGCGCCCCTACTCACCTGCTCCACCATCCCTCTGCAGCTGACAGCCACATGTTCTGCACACGCCCCCTGGTGTCATAGGGACTGGTTGTTCAGCCATTCGGTCTATTTGCATATTAGCCTTTTATTATGTAGGATAAGATGCATCATTTCTTCATGTTCTATGTGAAAAAACGTTACTTTTTTTTTTTTTACTACGACACATCGACTTGAATATGCATCTTGATTATAGAGATGTTAACATGTCTTTTTAAAGCATGATTTATGGAACGTTTCTAGAGTAGTATTTTTGCATTTTTACAATTTAGGAATATCACTGAGAAAATATCCTTTATCTTTCATTTTTCAGATCTATCATTCTACCTTTAATATTTTCCCTCCCTAATTTAAGCATTCTTTAAGTAGTTCCTTTTCTTAATTTCCCAGTTATTTTGCCATTCTGGTCATTTTCCTTTGGATGCCTTGTAGTTTATCACAAAACTGCTTAAAATTTAATATAGCACAGATTTCAAAAAGAAAATTGCAAAAACTTAAAATTAGTATATCCAGAAAGAAGGAACTATGTAAGTTCATGAACAAGGTTTTTAACTTGACAAGATTTTCAATAATTTTTTAAAATAGTCTATACCCATGAATTATTGTCATGACTTTTACAAGTAGGTTAACATTTTATACCTCATCATTTTTTTAATCCTCACCTGAGGATATGTTTGTTGATTTTAGAGAGGGGAAAGGGGAGGGGGGGAGACAGAGGGGGGAACATCGATGTGAAAGAGAAACATCACTTGATTGCCTCCCATAGGCTCCCCTACAGGGATCAAACCCACAGCCTAGTTATGTGTCCCAGCCTGGAATTGAACTGCAGCCTTTTTGGTGCCCTGGATGATGCTCCAACCAACTGAGCCACCTGGCCGGGGCCATCATACTTTCCATAGCAAGAATTTCTCCCCACTGGCACTCATTTACTCATTTTGGTAATTGAGATTTAAGATGCTACTTTTTATAAGCTAACATATGTTGTTAACAAATATAAACAGAATTGTACATCTTTTCAAGTTAATTCTTCTCCTCCCTACAAAATTACTACAAAAGAAATCTGCCCGTAATAATTTAACCTGGGAATATTTCTAAATGACAAAAATGTTTACCTGTTTTAGTAGTGAACATTTACATTTGAATGTTTCTTTATAATCATGTAATTTCTGATAGTTATTATATGACTTTATCATGTTATGTATTTCCTAGTTCAAATTAATTCAACTAAAGGAAAAATGACACCTTACAGTATGTTAAGTTTATAATTTGCTGATTCCTATAGAGTTTATGGGTTTTGTTATTGTAAAATTAAGCTTTCTTTCATAGTTAATATTCTTTTCTTTCTTTAATAATACAGGTTTTGAGAGTATTTTAGAAGGGCTTTATGGACCACGGCTACGAAGACATCTCAGTTTATTTGAAGGTAACGTTTTATTTCAAAATTTTAACCTTCTGTCCCGTTTAACAAATGAGAAATGGTTGTTGTACACTAACTTTATACTAAACATGAATTTGTGTTATTGTTTAATTAAAAATATTTCAAATGAATACATAAAGTGATCCAAATATTCCTATTATTACATGATGTTATAATCTTTAAAAAATTTAGATACTGGGATCGGAAACCAAGATGGCGGCATAGGTAAACACCAGAGATTGCTGCCTCGCACAACCACTTCAAAAATACAACTAAAAGACGAAACGGACATCACCTAGAACCACAGGAAAGCTGGCTGAGGGGAAATTCTACAACTAGAAGGAAAGAGAAGAGCATACCGAGACTCAGAGGAGGCGCAGTGCTGAAGTAAAATACAAAGGTGCGGAGGGGCGTGCGGAGCGGGCTGGCGGCTGAGGGCGCGGTTGCCTCC